TTGCTGCTGCGGCGCTTCCCACTAAGAGCAGAAGCAGCCCCGACATCCTCAGCACCAAGGACGTCAACAGCAGCAGCAGAAGCGTAGGAGGGGGCAAGGGGGGAGGGGGAACACCCCTCAAAGAAGGGTGTGCGAGGAGCGCCACGAGCAGCACCTACAGCGACTACGCTAGTCGCAGCTACAAGGAGGTGCTTCTCGAGAAGGTCGACAGTGAGGTCTGTGGGGTCAAGTGCGAGAATGTGGTCCCTGACTGCGCGAAAAGAGTCAGGGAGGCGGGTGACTATGAAGTAGAGAGTGATGTACATCGGGGGCAGGTTCCTGTCTAGGAACTCGGCTGGGAGGGCAGCGCGGTAGCGAGTGTCGCTAGTGCGAAGGTGGGTAGCGAGGTCCTCGACTGTGGCAAAGGCTGACAGCTCGGGAAACAGGTAGGGCAGCATAAGGCGGCCGAGAGTAGCAGTGGCAGGGGAAGAGTAACGAGCGACTACAGCGTCGTACAGGGCTTTAGCAGCCTTGTGCTGGCCAAAGTGAGCGCGTTCAGCTAACGGCAAGTGGTTGCGAACGGCTAAGCGAGCAGCAGCGTCACGGGTAAGCCACAGTGAGCGAGTCGCACTGTCAGCTGTGGCGGGAGGGGCGAAAGAGGCTCCAGACGTGTGGTCAAACAACGAAACGCTATCTCTAGAATCGCTCAGTAGGTACAGCTGTAAGTCGTCTAGCCACGTATTGAACTGGATCGGACGGCCCTCATGATCGAAGGTGAGAACACTGAGAGAAGCCATAGCGGGCAGAGCAGGGTGGCGCGCGACCAGCAAGGCAGCAAGCAGGCAGGGCGGCGCTCGAGCAATAGGGAAGCGCGCAGGGCAGGGAGAGGCGGCGCACGACGAGGGAAGAGCGGCACGCGGCCAACGCAGGGCAGGGCGGCGGCCAGCAGGGCGGCGCGTGGGCAGGGCAGGGCGGTGCGGCTGCTAGCAGGGCGGTGCACGGGCAGCAGGGCGGCGCGCGGGCAGCACGGCGTCGGCCAGCAGGGCAGGCAGCAGCAGGGCGGCGCGGGCAGGGCGGTGCAGGCAACGGTGCGGCTGCCAGCAGGGCGGCGCGCGGGCCAGCAGGGCGGGCAGCAGCCGGGCGGCGCGAGCAGCAGGGCGGCGCGCAGCAGGGCGGTGCGGGCAGCAGGGCGGCTCAGCGCGGGCAGGGAAGGGCGACACGCAGGCAGGGCAGGGCGGCGCGGCTGCCAGCAATGCGACGCGCGGACAGGGCAGGGCGACGCGAGAGGCAGCAACAAGGCAACGCGACAACCAGCAGGGCGATGCGGCAGGCAGCAGCAGGGCGACGCGACAGGCAGGGCAGGGCGCCGTGACAGGCAGGGCAGGGCGACGCGACAGACAGGGCAGGGCGACGCGACGGGCAGCAGCAGGGAGACGCGACAGCCAGCAGGGCGATGCGACAGCCAGCAGGGCGACGCGACATGCAGCAGGGCGACGCGACAGGCAGTGCAGGGCGACGCGACAGGCAGGGCAGGGCGACGCGACAGGCAGGGCAGGTCGACGCGACAGGCAGGGCAGGGCGACGCGACTAGTGGGGCAGCTCTATGTGGTGGGTCCTAAAAACGGTCCTGGAACAGGACCTGCTCTGAAACCATGTCAGTATACTGAACGAGAAAAATGAATGCGTTGAAAAGAAAGTTGGTACAAGTTCTAACCTTAATTGGATTGTACCCCTTATGGGCTACCCCACTATAGCCTACACAATGTAAGCATTATAAAATTTCATCACTAACTGCATACAATTGTATGGGGTGTAGGTGTTTGTCCGTTTTGGAAGGAAACTGTAACGGTGACTCCTCGCAACCCTCTGCAGCCAGATTGGAAAGGTTCTACAAACGAAGGAAACCTGATACTAAAGCTCTTGCATATGCTGCCCAGCCGGCTGATAAATCCCATGTCGCGCACGAGTTAGCTTCGCAAACCAGACCAGAACGCCCAAACCAGCTTCCAGCACGGAACCCAACCTCCTGTCCCAGAAAACCGCGACTCCAAACCATTACCATACCTCAGAGCCCAAACCGAGCCGTTAATACTGGCTGTAGTAGCGTCATTCACTCTGACAGCCGGCTGTCAGTAGGAATGGATCGCAGCTCGGAGGAAGGGAGGCTGGCCTAGTATGCGGTCGCGAAGCTTTCCTATTTACTCACCCTCCTGTGCTTCCTCCGAGAAGATTGGGTCAATCTCGAAACTCTGCGGCATTGTCAGCCCGCTTCCTCCCTCAGCAAACCCGTACTACTATCCTTCGATACCAATTCGGGAAATTGCGAAGTTTCTAAACAGCCCTGTTGCTTCGAAGTGGCCGCCATGTGCGGACGCGACGACACAAGATTGGCTCCGTCTTCTTCGCCGATTTTCGCCAATCCACCTTCGCGACAACTTCCGACGGGGAGCGGCGGACATTGGTTTCGTCCTCGGGCGCGGCGAGCGCGGAGCCGCGGCCTCTCCCGCCGAAATTCTCCGCGTGGTCGCGGCTGACGCGTGACATGCTGAGCGCCACTCGCGCGCCGAGCAGCGGCGGCGCGCGAAGCACGCCGCGGCGGGAGCCCTCGAAGCACGGCCCGTGCGTCGAGCCGGCGCTTCTGCTGCTTCCGGACGGCTCCGTCCAAATCGTTTGCTCGTCGCAGGCCAAGAATCCGTCTCCCTCCGCACACAGCCAGACTGGGAGTCAGACGCGCACCCTCATTGCGGTGAGGAACATGAAGAAGAGCACCAACCATGGCGCCCGAGACCCATCTCGCGTTGCGCCTTCGACGGACATGCATTCAATATCCGACAATTCAATTTCTGGCAATTCAATGTCCAGCGAATCAATTCCCCGCACAACTAATCATGATGCGGGTCGGAGGGCCACTCGCGTGAGCGACGTGCTTTAGGATCACCCGGGCTGTCAGGTGGGCTCGCTGACGTCATCGCACGGCGGCTTCCTGCGCCCGCAGCATGTGTTAAAGCCTGGCCATGTGTACTTCCTCCAGCCGCCCCTGGCGCTCCCGGCTGCCCATGATCATGGGACCCCTTTTTCCGGCTGTGGTGAGGATGAGAACTCTGCTGAAATTGAGACTGCTGCTGCACGCTCAGATGATTCAAGCACCACGCTCTCCACGCTCTCAACACTCTCAGCATTCTCCGGTCCACTTTCAACGTTTTCAGCATCATCCGCCGGTGCATTCTCTACGCTCTCAGAATTCTCGGGTCCACTCTCAACGCTCTCAGCGGGCACAGCAGGCGTTCAAGACCCACGATTCCTGTCCCATTTCCCCTCTCCATCCCTCCACCACACTCCCGGCGCCTGCTGTGGGAACGGTGGTCACCCTACTACTGCCTCTGCTACACACTCCCCTCACTCGCTAAACTAGGCACAGTCCCTCCCACCCTTCATATCTGATGCTACGCATACCCCATCCCCATCCCCACTCCCCCCACCATCCCCATCTGCTGACTCACCACGCTGCTCTTCCCGCCCGACCAGAGGCCACAGCCGCCCAGGACAAAAGAACACCAACACTGTCCCAGAAAATCCAAGTCATATCAACCATGCCGCTGCCGCCACCACCGCTGCCCATGCATTCGCCCCTTCTGTCGCCCAAGAAAGCTGGTCTTCTCACCTGATGCACCGTGGCTGGTGCACAGCGAGTCGCGGTGCAAGCCTGGAGTCTTGGACTGGCAAGGCTGGCAAGTCTGGCAAGGCTGGCATGAACAGCAGCGCAGGTGCTGCGGGTGCTATGGAGAATTACCAGGCCATTCTTGAAGCTCTGGAATCAGCCAGCAGCAGCACTCCGGCCAGGAGATTCGGCAGCAGCAATGGCAGCGGTAACAGCAGCAGCAGCAGTAACAGCAACATCAGCAGCATCAGCAGCAGCACTAGCAGCAGCAGCCAGCAGATGGGGCACCAGTTCGGTGGGTGCTATCCAGCGGACGAGGTACAGGAGAAGAGCCGCCAGCAGAAACACGTACCATTCCGCGTGCGAGGGAAGGCAATGGTCACTGCAGAGGACATGGTGTTTGGTGGCCTGAACTCACTCAATTAGATGTATCATCTAGCCAGAGTGGCCAATTGCGGGATTCATGAACAAGCATTGCTGGATTGTCGAGGGAGTGAGGGCTCAGCCGGAGCCGCTGTTGTAAGCTTGAGATGAATAGCATGATTAAAAGGCTTGATATTTTGAACCTTATCCATGTGTTTTGCTCTAGTTTGATTCGTAGTCATAATTTGCCTGTTGTGTGGGAGCAGGATTCAATCTTGTGCTGACACCGTACCTTCCATCTTACGCTAAAGCCTTCAATCCTGCACGTCTTGCAACCTCCCTCAACTCAACTTGTGATCAATCTCAGGCTCTGGATACCAAATCACCCAGTAAACACAGTTGCAGCGCCGAATGCTTTGGATTACGGTAGGCAATCCATGAGCTGTGCCCAAGAACGATCCGAATCCCGGAACAACCACATCATACGATTCCGGAATCACCACAATATGAGATCGATTAGGGTGGTACCTTCCCTAATTGATCCTTTCCTCAGCATTCTCACCCACCTCGCGTCCTGCTCCCTCACTCCCCCCCTCCTCGCCAAACACCTTACCCCATGCGAGCAGTGCCTTGGCTGCTCCGTCTCTCTTCGCCTCTGCCAGTGTCGGCCCCATGCCCGTGCCCATCCTCCTCCCTGCTGCATACACTCGCACTCTCTCTGTCACGTGGGCTGTCCCCGTATTGTCCGTCCCTGTGTGCCTGCTTGCCGTAAGCAAGGGGTGTTCAAGGAAGGGGGTGAGGGGGCGAGGGAAGTATTGGGGTGGTTAAGCGGCTCAGAACCACCCTCCTCCTCCCCACTGCATACACGCGCACCCAGTGCCCCGGTGCACCCTGTGCCCCCAGTGGTCCCCTGTGCCCCCGGTGGTCCCCTTTGCCCCCGGTGGTCCCCTGTGCCTTGGTGGTTCCTATCCTCCTCGGCCGTGCCTTAACACAAACGCAC